TGAAACCCCAGATGAGAAGGGACAAAAGTCCTTTCTTCTTGCATTCGTTGTTGAACTGGTATCATTGAAACCCACAGAAGTCGCTGTTGAAGTCTCAGAGTTTCAGGTAGAATTATAGACAGTCAGAGAGAGAGAGACAGAGAGAAAGGTCGTCCTTACCATTGGTTCACTCCCCAAAGGGCCGCCACAGCTGGCACTGTGCCGATCCGAAGCCAGGAGCCAGGAGCCTCGTCCTGGTCTCCCATGCAGGTGCAGGGGCCCAAGCTCTTGGGCCATCCTCCACTGCCCTCCCGAGCCACAGCACAGAGCTGGACTGGAAGAGGAGTAACTGGGACTAGAACCCGGCGCCCATGTGGGATGCTGGCGCCGAAGGCGGAGGATTAACCAAGTGAGCCACAGCGCTGGCCCCAAACCCACAGTTTTCTTCGTGTGGCTTTCTTCCCCCGGTTTCCCTGACGGTGGTCTTGGTGATGATGGTGGTGATGGTGGTGGTGGTGATGGTGGTGATGGTCTTAGTGATGATGGTGGTGATGGTGACGGTGGTCTTGGTGATGATGGTGGTGGTGGTGGTGGTGATGGTGATGTGGTGATGGTGATGGAGGTCTTGGTGATGATGGTGGTGATGGTGATGGTGGTCTTGGTGATGATGGTGGCGATGGTGGTGGTGGAGGTCTTGGTGATGGTGGTGATGGTGATGGTGATGTGGTCTTGGTGGTAGTGGGATTGGGGGTGCAGCTCCTGGTGCTGCTTTGCTTTCCCAAGCCTCTCCCCACTCCGTCTGGAGCGCCTGGTGCATGGTCTGGCAATCACAGGCAGGTCTCGGCTAATAAATCACACTGTGGGTGGAATATTCGCTCACTTCTCTTGTGAAATCAAGTAATTAGGGTTCTGGTAGTGAATTGTGTCTAATCGGGGGCCTCCCTCTGCCTCCCGCAGGCTGGCCGCGAGCCCCAGGGGCCCTGGGCGGCCTGGATGATGAAGGACTGTGGAAGTTTGACCCAAGGTGACCAGGCAGGGCTCGTTTGTCTGGAAGGTTAAAAAGCCCCTCTCTGGAGCCTCCTGATTCTGTGAGTGCTGAGGTACAGAGAGAAGAGGTTGTCTTCCTTAAACATTATTTGACAAGGCAGAGATCTGGTTCCCCCCAAACGCCCACAGCAGCCAGGTTCAAGGACGGCGTCACTTGGAAACCAAGTCCCCGCTCGCTGTTTGGGGGGCTCGGGACTCGTGTCCGTGAAGTTGAAGCGCCGACGCCCAGTGCCGTGGGGGAGTCGAGAGTCCGCTGGGGCTGCGGCGCTGGCCGCGTCGCTCTGGGCCAGTCGGCGACTTTGCCCCTGCACTGACCTCCGCCTTCCCTGCTCAGCCGCCCTCTCTCCGAGCTCCCTTCACTGCGCCTGCCCCCGCCGTCCTCCCCAGGGCCCTGTCCCAGGCGTCCTGCACACCCTCACTGTCGTCTCGCCCCCGGCCTGGCCACGCCTCTGTCCCCCTCCCACGCTGTCACAGCAGCACCTCTCACACCGAGCTGCTGACCTTGGCTGGCCTGTCTGTCATTTCATTCTAGAAGAAACCGGCAGGCCCCAGCCAGGAGACCCTAACTGCCCTCAGCCCTGGCCTGTAGTGGGGGTGTCTGCTGTCCCTGTGCTGACCGCCTGGGGGCCCCCAGGGAGCAGCTCCTTTGCCCAGCACTCGGCACTTTGTCTCAAGCCTGAAACCTGGGCCTCCGCCCCGTCCACCGCCCCGTCCACCGCCCTGTCCACTGCCCTGTCCACTGCCCCGTCCACTGCCCCTTCCAGCCCCAGTTGGTGTCCTCCCACTTCTTTCCCATCAAATCTGCCCCCCATAATGCACTGCGGGTGACGGCCACGCAGCACAGGGTGGCCTCCCTTGTGGAGAGTCCTGTTGCCCTCAGCCCCGAGACCCGGCCCCTCTGGCCCTCCTGTTCCCACCCCTGGCAGCCCGGGTCACTGCTCCTGACGTGGTCCTGGTTCCTGGGCCCCCAGGGCAGCTGTGCCCTGCCCTCCCCCGCCTTCTCCGCCTGTTCACCTGCCCAACACAGACCACGGCCGTGGCCTGGGCGCTGTGGCTTGGGTGAGGCCCTTGGGTGGAAGCTAGCAGCCCTGCAGGGAGGACTTCAGGGCTCGTAGGCTCAGGCCTGGGATGGGGGCTGTGTCCCTGATGGGGCAGGTCCATCTGGCAATGTGCTTCTCTGATGTTCAGCCACACCCAGCCATGGTCAGCACTTGTGTGTGGCCACTTTGCTGCCGAAGCATCGTGCATCTGCTCCCGCGGACAGGAGTCGGCCTGCTGTCGCTGTAACACACAGCAGTGACGTCCACTCCCGTGGACAGGTGCTGCCGCTCCGCGGACAGGAGTCCCCCTGCTGTCGCTGTCACACTCAGCAGTGCCGACGCGCCTGCCCTCACCGTGCCTGCCTCTCCCTCCCCTGCGCAGCTCCTCTCCTTCCAGACCTGCCCCGAGCGTTCCCACACTGCGGACGCCAAGCTTCTTCCGTGTTCCGAGACCGCCTTCCTACTCAGGGACTCTGACATGGCTCCTGTCGGGTTCCGTCTGTCTGCCTGGTCCTGTCCTGCCACCGCCTCGGTGAAGAATGTTCTAGAATAGTGCCCTGCCTGTGTGCCGTCTGCATGTTTTCTTGTCTTTTCCTTTGTTAAATATTTTGTACAGGTGAGGAATGCCTTAAGGTTTATTTATTTGAGAGGCAGAATTACAGGGAGGGAGAGACAGAGAGAGAGAGAGAGAATCTTCCATCGGCTGGTTCACTCCCCAATGGCCGCAACAGCCGGGGCTGAGCCGGGCTGAAGCCAGGAGCCAAGAGCTTCTTCCAGGTCTCCCACGTGGGTGCAGGGGCCCAAGCACTTGGGCCATCTTCCACTGCTGTCCCAGGCTGTTAGCAAGGAACAGGATTGGAAGTGGAGCTGGCAGGACTCGAACTGACGTCCAAGTGGGATGCCAGCCTCACAGGCAGCGGCTTAACCCACTGCGCCACAGCGCCGGCCCGACGGAAGTCCTACAAGCTCCAGGCTCCCGGCTTCAGCCTGGCCCAGCCGCAGCCGTGGCAGCCACCCGGGGAGGGAGCCCGTGGCTGGAAGCTGTGCCGCCCTCCCTCTCTGTCAGTCTGCTTTTCAAATAAAGAAGCAAAAGCTTTCAAGTACCAGCGGACTCTGTCTGTCCTGGGGCGCGTGTTTAATCGGCGTGGTCCTGCCGTTCTCCGCAGGCAGGTCTCCGAGTCCCCGGCTCGTCCCTGCCTCGCTGGGGAGCGAGCCTTGCTTTGCGGCTGCCAGCCTCCAGTGGGAGCTGGGGCCGGGCCTGCGCCCCCGCCCGACCCGCGGCTTCCTCTTCTCGCTCCGCAGGACAGCTGTGCCCGGGTGCTGCTGTTTCGAGGGGGCAACAAAGAACTGAAGAACTACAACAGCCAGACTCCGTTCCAGGTAATGGGCGCGCCTGAGCCTGAGCCTGAGCCGTGGGCGACGGCAGCGCCTGCCTGCGTGTGGCGCTGGTGGGGGCCACAGCAGCTGGCTCTCCCCGTGGCGCGCGGGTTCTGGGGCGGGGGCCGCCCTGTGCGGTGGAGCCGCCGACCTGCCCCAGGTGTGTCCCCGGGGCCCGCCCAGGTCGGCTTGCTGCCCGTCAGGCCACGCGGGAGACTGCGTCTGGCGGGGGCAGCTGCGGGACCACCTCCGTGGGCCTCTCTGGGGGGAGGGGCTCGTCCCTGTCAACACCCCCGTTGGGTCTGATGTCCCATCGGGCTGGCCGAGGGCTTCGGTGGTGAAGCAGACAAGCCCAGGGCCTTGGTTGGAAACTGAACAACGTGGTAAAATGCGCGTAACGCAGAAGGTAGCCCTGTCGCCTTACCTGGGTTCTCAAGTGCACTCCGCATGTCCTGTGGTCCTCGCAGCTGGTGCTCCTGGTTTGTAACCCTCCCATACCTGAGCACGGTTTGCTCAGGAAGCAGCCGTCGGATGATAAAGCCACTCCCGACTCTTCCAGACGAGGTGTGGCGCGGCGTGGCGTGTGGTGCTGCAGGAAGCGACTCTCCCTCCCGTGGCTTCCGGAGCAACGGGCCACTGTGGGTGGCTTGTCCCCACCCTGCCGGCCCACTGCGGCCTGTCCCCATGGGCCCTGACCCCTGGGATGCCAGCTGCACTGACACAGATCCGGCGGCACCTGTGCCTGCAGAGCTAAGCGAGGAGGCATGTGGCTGTGGAGCCTCGCGGCTCTGGGCCCCTGCCCACGCTCTGGGCCCCTGCCCACGCTCTCTGCCCACGCTCTCTGCCCACGCTCTCTGCACACGCTCTGGGCCCCTGCCCACGCTCTCTGCCCACGCTCTGGGCCCCTGCCCATGCTCTCTGCCCACGCTCTGGGCCCCTGCCCACGCTCTCTGCACACGCTCTCTGCACACGCACGGCGTGTGGCCGGCCCCCTCCTGCACAGGCGCACCTGGTGCTGTGGAGTGACCGGGACTGCACGATGGAAACACAATCCTTCCACCCCGAGCTCGGGGTGCAGCCTCTGTGACGGGGCTCGGCGGGGTTCCCCTGGGTGCTGGGGTGGGGGCTCTCGGGCGGCACTGTGAATGCAGGCTTTGTGCCGGGGACACTGGTCTGGCCGGCTACTGGTGTAGTCCAAACATTGGGCCAGCGGGAGCTCGGGAGAGACACGAGGTCTCAGTCCCACCGCCCCAGACGCCGGGGGTGGGCAGGGCTGGTGCCGAGCCCTGCAGGGATCCCGGTGCCTGGAGAGTCAGAGCTGGGGGTGTGGCTTCACTGAGGGGGGAGGAGGAAGAGGAGCATCGATGACGTCACTGGGCGGGTCTGGACCAGGTGATTGCGATGACGCTGGAGGCGGTGGTGACGTTGACATGGTGATTGTGACCTTGGTGGTGATGGTGATGCAGGGGGTTGTGTTGGACACACCATGCTTGATTGTAAACAGCCTTGGGCCGGTGGCTTTGCCGGCTGGAGGCACGTGCAGGGGCCCGAGTGTGGTTAGGGGGGCCGGCCTGGCTTGGCGCCGGTGGCCTAGGGCTGACATGTGCATTCTGATACGCAATATATGCAGCTGCCGATGGGCTCTGAGGTTGCGGCCGCATCGTGAGTCGGGGGCGTCTTGATGTGGGGTCCATGCACCCCTGTGCGTGTCCCCGTGGCCTGTGGCTGTGGCAGAGCCCGGCTGAGACCGGGAGCCATGTTCTGAGCAGGTCTTCCATGGTGCCGGGAGGTGAAGGATCAGAAGGGGTGGCCCTTTCTCCCTGGGATCGGCTGCAGTGCAGTGGCTGTGTGGGAGCAGAGCCGGGGGCGCGGGAGAGGCGAGGAGGACGTGCAGATGGCTCCGGGGTCCCGTGTTCACACGGATCAGGAGGGACGAGGCAGCGCAAGGCCTCCAGGCGGGTCTGCTGGGTGCCCCCAGCCCCCAGCTCTGTGCTCAGGCTGCCTGTCCCGCGCTGAGCCCTTCTCCACGCGGCGTCGCGACGCGGGGCTCCTGGGTCCACAGGAACGCCCGGTGCACAGCCCTGGGCCACGAGGCTCGGCAGGGGCGAGGGACCCCAGGCCCCGTGTCCGGCCTCACCCGTTGCACCACGTGGAGGAAGAGAGGCCGGAGCCAGGACTGCGGAGCTGAGATGGGAATGCCTAGAGGTGAGGTGAGAGACGCCAGGGTGGCAGTGACCTGAGTGCCATCGGGCGCCTGTCAGGTGTGGCGCCCACCAGGTGCATCCTGGGAAAGCTCCGTAGGCCTGGGTCATGGCCGTCCCTCGGGTCTCGGCATTTGCGAGTGTTTAATAGGAAGAGGATCGCAGGAAATGGGCCAGTGTCTCCTCGAGGGGCAGCCCCCGGCCTGCTCTGCGTTGAGCTCCTGCGGTCAGCAGTTCAGCCAGAGAGGGGCAAACAGGTCCGTGTCATGGCAGCCGGCTGGGTGACGGCCAGCGTGGAGGCCCGACGACCCTGGCGGCGGCGCGGCGTGCCTGCTCGTGTCGCTTGGGGGTCCATCACATCCAAAGGCCGAGGGGGTTATGGGGCCTCTCAGTTCTGGAGGGCCCCAGTGCAGGAGCGGGCGGTCCCCCCAGCCCAGCCTCGGGGGATGGGGCTCTCATGGGCAGAATCCAGAGGCGACACTTGTCTGTCTGTCCCTGTCCTCCCCGTGCCCCGTCTCAGAGCTGCACCCCCAACCTCGCGCCACCTAGCCCTCCCCAGAGGCCGCCCTGTCCTGTGGCAGCTGCCCGGCCTCTGTTCCTCTCCCATCAGAAGCTGTGACCAGACCTCGTCTCGTTGAAATGCGCATGGACTCGGAGCGAGGCTGGACGGGTGTTTCCTCCCGTGGCCTGACCCTTCTGCAGCACAGTGACCCACCCCAGCCAGCACCCGAGCCCTCCCTGCCCGTCAGTGGCCAGGAAGACCACCCCTTGGGTCTCCCTGTTCGTCCTCGGGTGCACCTGCTGTGTTCCAAGCATCCCGGTGAGGCGGGGGCGGGGCGGGCACCTCCGCTGTCCCGGGTCTTCCAGCCCCCTGGGTGGGTGGAGCACACGACGGCCTTGGCAGCCCACCCTCCGTGCCACCTGTCCAGAGGGCAGAGCTGACACCACAGAGCCTGACTGTGGATGCAGCCCAGATTTTTTTTTTTTAATTAATTGCCAGTGTTGAAGCACCCAGGGATTTCACGTGAAAATCTGGTTTTCTGATTTTGCAGAGGAAAACCCCCAGGTGGCCTGGGTCTGTGTCGCCCTCTGGTGGCGGCGGGGGGCACTGCCTTTGTGGTTTGCCACCCTCAGGGCTCAGCCTGGCCTCCCCTGGTGGGCCCTGGCGACCCTGCACTGCCTCTCTCATTAGGCCAAGTCTTTCAGTCAAGTGGCTTCTTGCAGAAGTCCCTCCGTGCCCCTGTGGGGTGTGGAGTCTGCGTTCCCATAGGAACAGGGACTGGAAGTTGCCCTTCTGGGTCACACGTGGAAACCCAGGGAACCTGAGTGTGGAGGAGCCACCGCCTGTGTCCGGGGAGAAAGGGAGCCGGGGCTGAATCTGCCCTCTCCCGGAGCGCCCCGGTGCCTGGAGCACCGCTCGTGGGCAGCTCCCTCCACGAGGGGCAGATGGGCAAGTGGCGGTAAAGGGGACGTCTGTTTTGGTGCCCCGATTTTTTTGAAATCACGCACGATTTTGATCACACACGTTTCCCAAACCCCTCTCGTTCTCATAGATTCTGAGACGGACTGCACAAAGTCGAGTTACCTTTTAAATCTGTCCCCCCCCCCCCCAGCCTTCTCGAAGTAGCCTCATGTGACGCGTCAGGGTTGTTAGCACGGAACATGAAGCAGCGTGGGCGCACGGCGGACAGACGCGGTGCTGTGGACGCCAGGGTCTTGCCAGGAACAAGGGAAGGAGGATGTGGCCCGGTGGGTGCCTGGGGGGAGCAGGTCCAGCACGGGCACAAGCAAAGGCCCTGGGGTCGCCGTGCACCTGGAGTGCTGGGGGGGTCACTGCCTCCCTCCCTGGAAGCTGTGGATGTGGTGGGCTGAGGGCAAGGCCAGGACAGTACAGGGCAGGCGGAGCTGGGTCCAGGACGCTGGGCACCCCGGGAGGGATGGGCCTGGCCGCCGGGGCCTGCACTGCGGTCCGCCAGCACCTGGCCATGAGTTCATTCCAGGAAAACAAAGATGGACCTCCACCTGGGGAACCGAGCCCCGGCGACTGCCTGTGCCCGGGGGCAGACGGGAAGGGGCAGTTCCCAACAGCGTGGAAGGACTGGGCCCTGAACTGTGGACCTCTCGTCTATGAGAAGCGTCTCTAGTCCTGCCCTGCCCCTTCCCCTGGAGCTCAGGGTCCACCCCGGTGCTGACCAGGCTCCCTGCTGCCTGCCCCTCCAGCTGTGGCTGTGCTGGCCTGCGGGCGGCCAGTCTCCTCCCTTTTTCTGACCTGGCTGCCTGCTGTGGTTTGGTCCGGGCTCCGCCCCCAGGGTTCCTGTGCCAGGGGCAGAGGTGCGGCCTGGGGGGAGGGACGGGGTCCTGGGGGTGCCACTCAGGGAAGGGGTCCTGTGGTCCTGTTAGTTCTCGCGAGAGCGGGCAGTAGGAAGCATGGCCGCTGCCCGCTCCCCCCTACTGCACCTGCCGTCTGCGCCTGTGGAGCCCGCACAGGCAGGGACGCCCGGCCTCGGCCATGGACGTCCAGCCTCCAACGCTGGGAGCCCACGGAGCGTCTCTACCAGGTCCGGGTGGGCGTAGTGGTGATGTCGCTGCGTGACGCTCAGCTCTGACCAAAGCTCCTGGCTTGAGTCCTGTGTTTCCCGCCGCCAGGCGCTCTGGGACGCAGCAGTGAGGGCAGGTCCCTGCGCCCCTGCCTCCCACGTGGGAGACCTGGGTGGACCCTGGGTAGCCGCAGGGGTTTGTTATAGTCACAGGAAATGGACTACAGCAGCGTCTGGTCTGCCCGCCCCCCGCCCCGGACACCTC